ATGGATGTTCACTTACAGCACAGCTGGGTGGGCTTTAATTTTAATTGGCTATGTTAATTTGTGTCTGAAGGAATGAGACACAAACAAGGATGAGGGAGGTGAGTCTTCGGCACTTAAAAAGTGAAAATAAGTATTTATTATTGTGTTTAAAACTCAAACTCCCTTTGGGTCCATCCAAATAGCTGTAATGTTGTGGTTTATGAGTCCATTTCCAAGGGTTGAAGGTCACATAATTTTTAACGGCAGGCTGAGGCCAACTTTAAGTTTCCATTAAAGTATTAAAAACACAGAGTCAGAGTAATATTTGGCTAAAAATATTTACAAAACTGGTCAAAGTGCACACACAAAAATGTATCTAAAGGACAGGAACAATTTATTCTAAATTAAGAAAGAAGAGCAACAGAAAGCTTTAAAGCGCTGAGGGAGAACTCGCAAACTCAACGCAGAAAGACTCCATTAGAAATTGACATGAAGCAAACTGTCAATCAATCCAGCATCTGCAACTGACCAATCAGTGATGGTAATTTGTCCTGAAGTGAACTGCCCCYTATCTGGAAGAAGTGAACCCACTTTTTCCTCAGACAACGTTAATAATTGTTAGGAACACTTTGGTGAAAAATRACCAGAAAAAATGGTTTAAACTTTGTAAATGGAAGACATGCAATTCCAACATGCAAGATTGTTTAGAGTAGTGGTTCCCAATCCTGGTCCTTCAGGATCCCTATCCTGCATGTTTTAGTTGTTTCCCTGCTCTTCAGTAAGTCTAAGTTGTGCAGAGGCCTGCCAATCACACATTCATTTAAATCAGGTGTGCCAAAGCAGGGGAACAACTAAAACATGCAGGACATKGGTCCTTGAGGACCAGGATTGCACCATTGGTTTAGAAGATAAATACAGTTTATTTCATTTCCAAAACTCAAACGTATTCTGGAAAATTATAAAAGATGTGTCAGATTTCAGCAGCTGAAAAAAGTGTAACTATATGTTCGTCTGTATGAAGGTAACTGCAGGTAAAGCTCTATTTTTTTAAATCATAATTACTGTGTAAACCTAATGGTTAAATAAAAGATTAGTTGTGTTTGATTTTATGATTTTTTTGCAGCTATAAGTCGTTCAAGCTTGTTTATGTACCATTAAGCACTCACTAGCCTTTTTTTGTGTGTGTGTGTGTGTGTGTGCAAAATGCATCCGACAGCTTTTTTCACTTTTGCTTTTTTCGCTTTTGCCAGTGCAAATTTGTGCCTTTCATCATTCGTCCTCTGGCTGTGAAATACTTGGGCTTTGACATAAATGTATCCATGGTTTACCACAAAAAAAAAAAATAAAAAAACTTCATGGACCTGATGTACGACTCATTTGGCTGGCTTTAACCTGTGTTTCCGCGTGGGCGGAGCTATCTCACAGTGAGCGTCGTGTCGATTTAACCCCGTAACCTTTGTTGCTGTGAGGTCATGAGAACATCTTTTTCAGGTTTGCTTGTGATTTT